CTTCTATCCAGGGGAAACGATAAGCCAATCAAGAGCCAGCTAAACGTCATAGGAGGTTTTCCCAAAAGGGAGCGACAACAACAGCATAAGAAACCAGGAGAAGCTTCTGGGAGGTTGCGATGGGCCTTGGGGGATGAATTCTGGCAGGTAGAAATGGGGCCTGGGGGTGTGGGTGGCACTTCAGGGATCAGAACAGCCCAAGCAAAGTGCAGAGGAGAGAAGTGTGGTCAGATTTAGAGAAGGGCAAGATGCTGAATTTGACCAGGAGGTCCTTAGGTTCAGTGAGCTTGAGAATTCTTTCACCATTCTGTCCAGCCCCCATCCCTCCTCTGCCAAGAGTCCCCCCCGCTCCCCTCCCTCTTGTTGTTAGGTGCCATGGAGTCTATTCTGACTCATAGTGACCCCATGTGACAGAGCACAACTGCCCCATAGGGTTTTCTAGGCTGTAATCTTTATGGAAGCAGATGGCCAGGTCTTCCTCCCTCAGAGCCACTGGGTGGGTTTGAACCACCAGCCTGTTGGTTAGCAGCCAAGCACTTAACCATTTGTACCACCAGGGCTCCTTACCCCTCCCCGTCAAAACAAAACAAAACAAAACAAAAAAACTAAGCAGAGGCAGCATGATGCAGGGGAAAGAGCTTGCACTCAGAAGTCATACATATTTGGTCAAATCCAGATGCCTCTGCTGTTAAGACCTGCAAGCTGGCCAAGTTAATCAACTGTTCTGAGCCAGCTTCCTCAGCTGTAAACTATGGGGGTAACAGTACTTATCTGGCAGATGAAAGGATGAACTAAGACCTTGATACAGTGTTGAGATCACGGCAGGTGCTCAGTAGGCATTAATTCTCTCACCCCCTGTACTGACAAGAGTCCAGCTGGCTCTCTGTGTTAGGCTGACAGCCAAAGCCCGACGCCAAGTCACCTTTACAATGCTTGCACAAACCCCTTGAAGGATGCTGGCTGGCACCACCAGTCATAGACTCACCTACCTGCTTGGACAGTGTCTATCTGCTGAATTTTGGCTTTGCTTGTTTCTTCTGGAACCACCTCTCCAGTGAGGGAGGAACCAAGATCTACCCATTTGCAGATAGGGGTGTTTGTGTTCATACTTGCCAAGAGAAATTGCACAAAGCTGACCTACTTCCTTCCTCCGTCTCCTCCCCCGCTTTCCTTGCAGGCTCCTCCATTTCCAAGGACCTAAGAAAGGGTTCTTTTCTCTCCCACGTTGCCCCCATTATCAAGTAAAGCTTCCAGTTACTCTCTGCTTCTGGCACACGAGTCCAGGCAGGCCCTGTGGTCCCTTGACCTGGCTTTGAAACAGGCCTGCACCTGGGCCCTGGCTGGTAACAACTGTTCACCCCCATAGCAGGCCCACTGTTGAGTTCTCTGATGCCCCTTGGTGCCAAGGGCAACAGTATCCTGCCCAGCAAGGCCATCCAGCAGGCAGAAGACGCAGCCTGTGTCCCTCCCAGGTGATTCCTGCCTCCTCTGCAGCTCAACATTGGGCCAAGTCAGGCTGGTCAAACTGGAGGCCACGAGGCCCTTGGAATGACCCTGGGTGACAGCACCCACAGGCATGTGCGTGGGGCTGGCTGAGGGGGTCATGGAGGGAAAGGGAAGACCCAGATGGTCAGGGATGCCCCGGTTGCCTGGAGGAAGTAACTAAGGCAGAGATGAGGTTTGACAGAGAAAGGCAGGGATAGGAATGTTGTAACAACCACAGGAAGGTGAAACCAGACTGGGGAGGAGGTGATCCAGGTGAACTCTCTCCTGCATCTTTGAGCTCCCACTCTGGTCCTCCAGTGCTCTCTGATTGTTTCATGTGTGATAACTGAAAGCAATTTGAAAGCCAGACCTTTGTCTCATAAAGCCTGCCTGTAGCCCCCGCACCTCCCCACCCAAGGCCTAACCCAAGGCTGGGCACTGAGAGTGGCTGCAGCAAACACAGCTGACTGCAAGATGGAAGACAGGAGTCCCAGGAAGCAAAGGGGCCAGTGAGGAGGGCAGGTGACAGTGTGCTGAGGGGTGAGGAGAATCGGGGAGGGCAAGTGAGGGTGTGCTGAGGGGTGAGGAGGATCAGGGAGGGCAAGTGAGGGTATGCTGAGGGGCGAGGAGGATCAGGGAGGAGAGGTAAGGGTGTGCTGAGGGGCAAGAAGGATGGGAAGCCTGAGAGACCGTAGGCAAAAAGGCCCAGGGAGGAACAGCCTTGTGGGGGGGGATGGACCAACCTAGGGGGTTGAGGACAGGGACAGACATGGTGGGGGAGGGGCTGTAGCAAAGTGACTCCTGAGTCACCATGGGGGATCTCCCCAGGGATGGAAGGCCAAGCTAATGAACGGACCTGATGCCTCACATAATACTTCAGATAATGCCAAGGCCTTTGGGGGTCATGAGTGGGTGGTAGCAGGCTGAGGTAGAAAGATGGGCAGCTCTGGCCCAGCCACCTTGCTTTGATTCATCCATTGGGCCCGGGATCCTGTGGGGCCCTCATGCATGCTTCTCATTTGCTATACCTTCATCCCCACCCTAGTCACTCACATTGCCTCGCCACTCCCCTTTCCTGCCAGGCACCTCCCTCCCCACTCATGGGTCCAGCAAGGACTTTAGGAGCCCATGTTGGGTCCTCCTCAGTGACTTGTCCCGAAGCTAGAACCTCAGATCCCTGGACCCATCCCTGCATCCATCACCCTTCCTGGTTAATGCAGGTCAGAGCTGGTCAGAGCGCGCGTCCATGGGGCGCCACAGCCTGCCTTCTTTTGGCACCCCAACCCTTGGGCGGTTTGCTCTAGATAGAGGAACCTCACTGCAGGTGTGACATGCATCTCAGCCACAGTGTTTAAGTCCAATTCTGTGAGGAGACCAGGGCTGGGCAGGGCTGCTTGGGCTGGTTTCCTGTGTGTTTATCATTGGGTCATTACTCTCCATCATTTAAACTGTTATCCTCCTTCTCTCTTACCCCCCCTGCTGGCTGAGTAGGGAAGTTTCTGGTGACGGGAGCAGGTGCATAAGGACTTGGGAAGGGCTGTTGCCTAACTTAGAACTGTAGAACACAATGGACAGAACAGGCTTTAAACAAACAAACAAAAAGTTGCTGTCACGTCACTTCCGACTCATGCTGTTGTTGTTAGGTGCTGTTGAGTCGGTTCCAACTCACAGTGACCCTGTAAGGACAGAGTAGAACTGCCCCATAGGGTTTCCAAGGAGTGGCTCGTGGATTTGAACTGCAGACTTTTTGGTTAGCAACTACGCTCTTAACCACTATACCACCAGGGCTTCAAAGTAAGGTTTCCAAGGAGCAGCTGGTGGATTCAAACTGCCGACCTTCTGGTTAGCAGCCAAGCTCTGAACCACTATGCCACCATGCTGACCCCAAACATTTCAGAGTAGAACTGTGCTCCAGAGGGTTTTCAATGGCTGTGTCCTTTTGGAGGCAGATTGCCAGCCTTTCTTCCGAGGCGCCTCCGGGTGGATTTGAACTGCCAACCACCCAGGGACTTCTAGAACAGACCTCAGAGATTGGAGTATAGAACTTCTTCAGTGGAGAGAGGCCCAGATTCATACACAGTCAAAGCTCTCCTCTGAATATGTTTAGATATGTGCTTGTACAGGTATAGGCTCTCTCTGTGGCTACCCAAGAATATGGTAGCACTGGTTTCCTCTGGATTGGAGACTGGTGGTTAGAGGGCAGGAATGGGAAGGAGAGAGACTCTTCACACTTTTGTTATCTTTTGGATTCTGAGTCATGTGAATGTTACCTATTAAAAAAATAAAATGCAGAATAAAAATCTCTTTCCCACCCTTCCCTGGGCTCCTTTGGGGGATTAACCCTTTTCAGGGGACCGGACAAGACCCTTGATTTACTCTAGTGAGGATGGGAGCTGCATCTCAGCCAGCCCCTCAGTGTCCTACAAGCTGATGAGTGCTCCAGCAAGCACACCACTGGGACAGTAAATGGGGGCTGCCCCAACAAAGCAACAGGAAGGCCACAGTTACTGCAGACACTGTGGGCAGCCTTGGGGAGCCTCAGCTCTTACCCTGCAGTTTTACAAAAAGGGAGATGGTTGTTCTCTGCCCCTCTGATTTACAGCAGCCATCCATTTCTTTGGATGGTCATCTAAGCTGCTAATGACCGTCCAAAGTAATAGTGCTTGGCTCCTCTTTGGAACACACCCGGTGGCCTTGACTCAGGTTGGGACAAGCCCCTGAGCAGGAAAGGCAGCCCTAAGGGGCTCAGGCAGAAAGCAATTCTGGTGGTACTCATATAGACAGGAAGGAAATGAGTGTCAGTGCCAGCAGGGGTTTCTCTTCTCTGCCTCTCACTTGGATTTGGGCAGTATCTTTCTCCCAAAGGAGCCCTGGTGGCGCAGCGCTTAACAGCTCAGCCACTAACCAAAAAAGTTCGGCAGTTCAAATCCACCAGCCATTTCTTGGAAACCCTATGCAGCAGTTCTACTCTGCCCTGTAGGGTCGCTATGAGTCGGAATTGACTCAGTGGCAGTGGGTTTGGTTTGGTATGGTACGAGTTTTCTCCCAAATTCCAGGAAATCATAAACACCGGGGAATCCGCCCTTGCTTGATCAGGCCCAGCTGGAAGGCAGCAGGCATCCCCGAAGAGATGAGGAGTGAGGGGGAAGGACAGAAGCACGAGATTGGGGTGTGCTCCTGCCTTGGGTTGTGGAGGCATGGGGAACAGCAGGAACAGGTCTGGAGGAAAGGGGTCTTGTCTCAGGAACAGAGCCCCTTTGTACATCTTTGAGTCTTTCTTCTAAGTACTTAACATTTTGTGGAGCACAAAGTCAGCATTCAAAAACATGCTAAAGGAGAAATGAGATCTCTATCAGCCTCCAGAACACATTTCAATTCAGAGGCAAAAAGTAGAATGTTGGGACAAGGAAAGCCAAGGCACAAAGAAGGACCTGTAAGGGTCCCCAAGGCTCACCAAGGACACACAGCAGAGGCCTTCTCTTCATATTAAGGATTTGGGAGGTGAGAAAGTCTACCTTATTCCACTGAGATACGCCAAACCACCCTGGCCCGGCTGAGGAGAGATGCAGAGTGGTGACGTCAGGCCAGGAGCGTTAGAACTTGCTAGCATAGAGGGTCATAATCCACTTGGGCATGCGGAGGAAGCCTGGCAAGTAGGAGGCCAGCCAGCCCAGGCTGGAGACGTGGGTGAGAACGGAGCTCACGGACAGATAGTCTTGGACCGGGCGGCCTGAGGACAACAGGAAGAGGAGGGGGAATAGACCCTTGTCTCCCACTCCTTGGACACCCCAATCTTGGCTAAAGAAACTGAGTGGGATGTGAGGAAGGAAGGGACAGGGAGACAGTGAGGGAGAAAAAGCAAGCAGGAACATAGGAGGAGAGGTCCAGGCTGGCTGTTGGGCCCAGAGCTCTTACCATCTACATCCCGAAGGTCATAGCGTCATGCAAGGTCACAGGATGGCAGCACCTTCCCACTCAGGCTCAGGATATCAGGGTCTGTGGGCACATGTAGAGCTGGAGATGGCCTGGGAATGGCACAGAGTGACAGGGTTTGGGCTCAGTGGGATGGGGCACCACTGAGACAGGCTCAGGAGCCCAGGAGAATTGTTTCTCTCTGTTCCTAGGAAGGTTCCGGGCCTCTGGCTCCTGGCCACACCTCCTAGGACCCAGTTCCTAATGGTTCCAAACCTCACACTGGGAATCCTGACCCTTTGGGCTTCCAAAGGCCAGAGAAAAGAAGGGTTTACTCCTCAACCACCTCCTGAACCAGGACCCAGCACTGGCTGCCACTGCCCTGCAGATCCTCCATGCCCTTTCTTGTGACTAGTTGCCCCCAACCTCTTTACCTGTTGCCAGAGCCACGATACATTTGCCACTTAATTCTGTAGTCTCCGCGGATGAAAAAATAGGTCTGAACTGAAACACAGGACAGAGAGGTGAAGGGTTAATACTGAGTGCATTGCCCAAGTCTCCTTCCGCCTTTCAGCTTCTATTCCAGGAGAGAGGCCCTCCTTGCTCCACCTGTAGGAACCACTCTTCCCCCATATCCAAATGAGCCTGTGCCACTCCCGGGCACCAGGACCCACTGCCTTTCCTGAGTGGGAGGATCTGGGGGTACTGACTAGTGTCTGGACCTTTTGGTTAGTAGTTCAGTGTGGGGGTCAAGAGCATGGGCTTCGGAACTCGACAGCCTTTCCACCTGCCTAGTAAGCCTTTCCATTTATGACATATGTGACTTTGAGCAAGTTTCTTACCTTCTCTGAGTTTCAGTTTCTGCATCTGTAAGATGAAGATAATATCTCCCTCATAGGATTAAAGGAAATGGTGTGTGTTCAGGGCTTAGCCCTGCGCCTGACCACAGTAAGCTCACAGTAAATAAGCAGTAGTTACTCTTGTCACTGTTGTTATTGTCTCATCACTGCAGATGGAGAGGCTGCTTCCTCCATACTCTCTGCCTCCCCCATCCTCCTTTTGCCAACCTGCTTAAGCAGGGGATCCTCAGTGGTATTCTCCTTGGCCATATGCTCCTTCAGCAGTTCTGTCTGCACCAACCCTGGCCACAGAGACACGTAGCGAACTCCATGGCGATGCAGCTCACGGGCACAGTCAGCAGCCAGCCTGTCGCACCGTGGAGAGACAGAGGGAGGGTGAGTGCCAGGGCACCTGGCTGTGTCACCTTCCTCTCCCACCCTCTGTGCTCCTCCTGGGGATGCCCCAGCCCCCTGCCCTTCCCAGAAGCCCTCAGGGCTCAGCTGCCTGCCTTCCCCAGTACGATGTTACTCTGGCCAGTGCAGAGGGGCACAAGCAAAGAACTGTGCATGGAGGGGCGGAGGGAGAGGTGAAGGCCAGCCAGCTTTATCATTCCGACCCACCAGGGACTGTGTCTCCTGAACCCTGGGTAACATCACTGTCCCATACCCCCTCCTCGGCCTCCGTGCCTCTGGCTCCTCACCGCAGCTTTGCCCACACCATAGGGGACACTGAAGGCATACTGCAACCCTCCAAAGGAGATGACCACGATGAGCCCCCGGCCAGATGGTACCATCAGCCGCGCCCCATACACTGAGCACAAGTAGTGGCCTCCGGAAGATGGGGTGGGGTAAAGAAGAGGAATTAACACTGCTCAGTGCTGGGCTGGAGCCCTGGTGGCATAGTGGTTGAGCTACGGCTGCTAACCAAAATGTCGGCAGTTTGAATCCACCAGCCGCTCCCTGGAAACCCTATGGGACAGTTCTACTCTGTCCTATAGGGTGGCTATGAGTCGGAATCGACTCCACAGCAGCTGGTTCGGTTTTTGGTTCAGTGCTGAGCTGGCGCTGCATCATCTCGGCAGTGTCGCCTGCCCTCTAGTGGCTGTAGACAGAAGAGGGAAGGCTGCAGACCTGGGAGATGGGGGCTGGAAGCCAGTTCTGAGGAAAACTGGTAAAAACCAACCAGTGACAGATGAGAAACGATAATCTTTAGAAAATATAATGGAATAAAATTCACAGTAGCAATTACAAACGTTAAAAAACCTCAGGGGGAGGGGAACTTGAGAATACATATAGAAAATACATGGAAAAAAACTACAAAATTCAAGTGCAGTTATAATCTGTTCTATGGTAAGAAGAATCAACATGTAAAACAACAGTTCTAATTAAGCCAACCCATACATTCAATTACATCTTATATCTGGGTAAGACATTTTGGAGAAATTGACAAAATAATCGAAAGCTCAATGAGAAGAATAAACTGTGAAAACAGCCAAGAAAATCCTGAAAAAAGCAGAATAATGTCTGGTGGGTGAGAGGGATATACTCCCCCTCCGGTATCAAAACGTACAATAATGATATGACAGTTACAAGCATGCAGTACTGGCATTATGACAGATAAATCGATGAAACAAAATAGTCAATAATTAGATCCAAGTGTAAATGAGAATTCAATGTATTATCAACGGAGCATTTCAAATCAATGGGGAAAGATGGATCACTCAATAAATAGATTCAGGAGGACTGGCCAGCCATGGAGTGGGGGTGGGGGAGCACTGACTCTCTACTTCATTTTTTACTTCAAGATGAATTCTAAAAGGATTAAGTATTTGAAAATAAAAAATGAAAGCACAAAAGTACTAGAAGAAAACATGGGTGAAGGTGTTTTATAAACTTGGGGTAAGGAGGACTTTTCTTAGCATGACACCAAAATAAATGCAATAAAAAAAAACACTGACAAATTATTTGACTTAAAACATATATATATACACACATGTATATGAACATATATATACACACACATACAAAATTACAAATATGTATATATAGACTGTGGGGACAGCTTGCATGCAAAAAATAAATAATAAATTGGGGGAAATATTTACAAAACATGTCAAAGGAATCTTGTTCTATAAAGATCTCTTCTAAATCAGTGTGAAAAGAAGACTAATGTAATAACACAAATGCCAATTCATAAAAGAATAAACAGTCAATAAACAAATTAAAAAAAAAACAACTCAACCTCACTAATTATTAAGGAAACATTAATTAAAACAACTTTGAGATATTTTTGGTTTATTAGAGTTTTGACAAAGATTAAAAGCCTGATAATGTCTGGTACCGTTGAGGATATGGGGAAAAGATACTTCCCTTCATTATCATGGGACTATAAATTGGTGGGATTTTTTTTAGAGGGCAATTAGATAATGTTTATGAAATCTTTAATCTTAATTTAGTTAATTTTAATCTTAAATTTTTTGCCTCAAGAATTCCACTACTGGAAGTTACGATGTAGAAATACTTGCTCAAATTTAAAGGCATCCAGGGCAGTATTATTTAATTGCTAAAAATTAGAAACAATCCAGTTGCTAAAAATAAGGATTAACTCACTGCTATCGAGTCGATTCCAACTCATAGTGACCCTATAGGACAGAATAGAACTGCTCCGTAGGGTTTCCAAGGCTGTAAATCTTTATGGAAGCAGACTGCCACATCTTTCTCCTGAAGAGTGGCTGGTGGGTTCAAACCACCAACCTTCTGGTTAGCAGCCGAGCGCTTAACCACTGTGTCATCAGGGCTCCAACAAGGATCAGATAAATAAATTATGCTACATCTTCCCAATAGACTATTTTGTAGGTATTAAAAAGAATGAGAGATATTATTGTGAACAATCTAAAAGAATATATACCAGACTATTAATAGTAGCTATCTCAAGGGTGGGAGGAAGGAGTGGTGGTGAGTGGAATACGATTATACAGATTTTTAGTTTTTGTTATATATATATATATATATATATATATATACACATATATAAATAATACACACATTTGGTAATCAGAAAAAACTTCTTTTGCCATGGGGAACGGTTACCAAAAAAACCCAGCAAATCTATTGCGGTCAAGTTGATTCCGACTTGTACTGACCCCCACAGGACAGAGGAGAACTGCCCCATAGGGTTTCCAAGGAGTGGCTGGTGGATTCGAACTGCCGACTTTTTGGTTAGCAGCCATAGCTCACCTTAGCTCTTAACCACTGTGCCACCAGCGCTCCAGTTAGGACCCTCCAAATGAAAACCAATAGAGAGTTACAGTTTCAAAAGGAAAGCCCAGACCAAGATAATGCAGAAAAAAAGCACAATGAATGCGTGTGTGAGGGTAGGGGTGGAGTGAAAAGGGCTGGTGGGCTGCCAAGAGACTTACAAAGTGGCCTTCACTTTGGAGAATTGATCAGGGCCCAGGGCCTGGGGTTTGAGCCTCTGCCTCGTAGGCTCAAAACCCTGACCAGCAAGAGATGAGGGTATGGAAGGTACCTCTGTTTGGAGGGTTATGGATGTGGGCACTGCCAATTTCCAGCTCTTTGGGTTTTCCTTTCTTGCTTCTGGGCTGACCATCCCCCTCTGTCCTCATAATCTTTCTTCCATTTTGGAAATTACAATCATATTCTATTCCCGCTTTTTTTGGATTGCAGCTAAGAGTAGCAGAATTGGAGCTGTGGGTATTTTTAATCACTTTATCACAGATTTGCAGATAATCTCTTGGTTATTCCCACATCCATCGAGCATAGTTGAAATACCTGAGGAAGTAACATCATTCCAACAGTAATAAACAGAGACATAAAACCAAAAGCAGTTGCTGTCGAGTCCATTCCGACTCACGGAGACCCATGTGTGTCAAAGTAGAACTGTGTTCCACGGGGTTTTCAATGGCTGATTTTTGGAAGTAGATCACTAAGGCCTTTCTTTCAAGGCACCTCTGGGTGGACTCCAATCTCCAATCTTTGGGTTAACAGCCAAGTGGGTTACCTATTTGCACCACCGAGGGACTCAGCTGGTACATATTAGGCTGAGTCAGTTCTGAATGCCGTGTTTTCCCTCGTTCCTGTGCCAGATATATGGGGACCCCATGACAATCCTGCCCTCTCTAGTCTGATCTGGGAGCACCTGTGCCTGTGGGTCACAAGAGAGGATGGGGGAGGGGGGCTGGCACTCACTCTTTCTTATTAATCTTCTCTTGAGCTAAAACAAAACCATTTTTTGCTCTATTTTTGAAAATACAAACCATGGGTGGTGTGCATTACTGAGGGAAGGAGGCTCCCTTTCAGTCACGCATCTGGATGGGCAGGGAGTAAGGCAGGAGAGACGTCAAGGGCTCGTTCTGATGAAAATTACATTCCCAGGTACAGACCCCCTGGAAGGAACTTCTCCAGAGGTAAGTGGTACAAATGGGACAGAAAGGAGAAGAGAGAGGGAAGGGTTGGGGAGTCTGGAAGGAAAAGGAGAGGAGGAGTTATGGGGAAAGGCCCTAGCCCTCAGCCCTCGGCCTGGCTAAGTGAGTAAGGGAAGCCTGGACCCTTGTAGTGGGATAAGGGGGACACCCACCTGAGTCCAACATTGTTAATGTCATCTGGGAAGGCAGGGCTTTCCCAGAATGCATTCTTCTTGTTGTTGAGGATAGCCTGGAAGGCACGGGGAGGGCAATGATCTGAAGGCAGGAAGGTGTGAGGGGCTGGGTAATGGAAGGGACAATGAGTGGGGATAAGGACTCAGGGATCAAAAGGGGAGGTCAGAAGCATGGAGCTGGAATCAGAGTTCAAAAGGCCCCTGGACCCCGGCATAGGCGTTGCTGACCAGCATATCCAGACGCCAATGCTGCTCGCGGTCCACCTGCTCAAACAGGCTTTGCACTTCACTCTCCTGGCTTGAATCGCATACCACGGGCACACACCGGCCCCCGCAGGACTGCGCCTGGAGAGGGACAGAGGGGATATGAGCTCACAGTCACACATGAGTATGAGACATAATGTAACTCCTCCACCCAAAGTGGGCTTGGGAGCTGAGAAGCCAATCATAGGAATCATGGCTAGCAACTGAAGGACCATGTCAGGCAATACCGCCCTCTGGTGTCTGAGGAGTTTCAGGAATTATAGTCCCTTTTAACTCCATAGAACCCAGGGTCAGGTGGATTGGCATCTCATGCTTAAAGTGAACAAACATTTACTGAGGCTTACCATATGCAAGGCATTGTGCTTTGAGGACAAATAAGGCACGGAAAGTTCTCTAAAGAAATGAGTAACTATCCTTTCCTAGTCCTTGGTCATTTCCATCTCTCATGCCCTTAGCTCCCCACACTTTACCACTCACCTCGCAGAGCCATACAATTCTAGCCCTCTTACCCTCACTCCATCTCTCCTCCTTGGTAACTGAGAAATCAAAGCTCTTAGGCATGAACTATTTCTACTTCCCATTCTGCCTTATCCTCTACAAATGTACCCCATCCTCCAACTTCAGAGGAAGAAGGTTGACTTATTCAAAAACAATCTCCTTATCTTCCTGACCCATGCTCTGGATTCCACCTCTTACCTTCTTGTCTGAACTACTGCAATGCCTCCTGACTGCTCACTTGACCTCCAGTCTTTCTGCCTTAAATGAATTCTACATACTACAGCCAGTGTGGACTATTTAAAACACAGATCTGGACATCTTGTTGTTCTGCTTAAAATCTTCCAACCGGATCCCCATCTCTTCCAGAATAAAGTTAAAATTCTTTGCCAGAGTCTTCCAAGACCAGTTCTCTGCTTCCTCTCCAGCCTCTCGCCCACCACTCCTCCCTTGCACTTTTATGCTCTGGCATTGTTTCTAACAGCCATGCTCTTTTACCACTGTCCCTCTGCTTATGTAGCTCCCTTTGTTAGAATGCTTTTCCTAACTTTCCTTACCTGACTCTTACCGTTTAAGACTCAGTTTAAAAAACCTCCTCCTCTGGCACCTCCGGGCACACCCCTATATGATCCCCATGTTCCCTCTCTGCACTCCCAGAACATTCTGTGCACACCTTCCTCTTATCATTTACCATATTCTCATTACATTGAAATGATCAGTTTCTGCATGTGACTTCTTGTTGAACTTCATCTTTTAAGAGCACAAACCATATTTTAGTAATCTGGTTAACTCCAGTGTTCTTCCCAGTGCCTGGCAAACCATAGTCACCCAAATATTTATCACATTGAGATCTAGTAGGGAAGTCTAACTTCCAAATGAAAACGTACACTTCAATAAAATCTTGCCTAACATAGAGGAGAGCACAGGTCCACAATCCTTTAGCAGCAATTCCAAAATCCCTGATGGGCTCGATCAGAAAGTTTTTCTCATAAAACTCACTTGGTGGCAAAACTTGACCTGACCTGAAGTTATTTATGGTGTTTATTTAGCCCATTTTGAGTAAGTATTGCTGTTTTGCTGAGCGTAAGGAATTATAGGCAGACTGGAGAAGGAACGGTTAATCCAAAAGGCCCCTCAGGTGGTTTCTGCCACTGTGGTCCCACTGTAGTCCCAGAAGTGCTCACCTCCTGAGCAGTGGCCTGGAGTGTGTCCAGATGGCGGCCAGTGATGTAAACTGTGGCTCCTGCTTGGGAGAGCTGCAAGGCGATGCCGCGGGCAATACCCCTAGAGGCACCAGTTACCACGCACACTTGGCCCTTCATGGGACCTGCCATGACTCACAAGCAAAGAGGGAAAAACTGTGGAAGCAAGGACTTGCTCTGAGAGAAGCCTATACATTTTGTGTGGAGGGGGGATGCCAACTGGGGAAGGAAAGGGAGCAAAGATTGGGATCCTATGAGGGGAAGGGAGAAATTTGAGGGGACCACTAAGTGGGGGCCCCAGGGCAGGGCTTGTGGCCCCTTTTGGAAACCCTGGTGGTGTAGTGGTTAAGAGCTATGGCTGCTAACCAAACGGTCAGCAGTTCAAATCCACCAGCTGCCCCCTTGGAAACCCTATGGGGCAGTTCTACTCTGTTCTATAGGGTCACTATGAGTCGAAATCAACTCGACGGCTACGTTTTTTTTTTTTTTTTGGGGAGGGGTGAAGAAGGGGGCAGGTGGGGTTATCCAGGACTGGACACCTACTGGGATCCACTGAATGGGGCTGACTGGGTGGGGGGTTATGGCATGGCGGCCCCTCAATACGCGTCCATGCAGAGTCCTGGACTATCTGGTGCTGTGGCCCCTGGTCTACCTCAGTCCCGCGGAGCCCGGGGCGCGGCTTCCTGGTCGGGGGTGAGCGCGAGGCCCTGGGACCCTCATCCGAGTGGGGTGCTCGCGTCCCTTACCTGCCACCGGTGAAGCCTCCGGAGTCCTCCCGTCGTCTAGCTAACCACACCTGCAGCTCGAGAACTTTGATTCCTGCCGAGGGTGCGAGACGACGTTACCAGGATTGGGGCAGGGTACAGAGCTGGGATGGAAGTCCAGGCTCTGGCTCGAGTTGAGCAGGCGATGTGGAGGCGGGGCTTAGGGAGAGGGCCACTGTACCTGCGCTAAAGTTCTGCGGCGTTTAGGGATTGGTGTGGTTTGGGTCCAGGGACGAGTGGGCGGAGCCCTGGGGTCGGGACACGTAAATGGAGGCGGGGCGATCCGAAGGACACACCCACGACCTCCCTGCCGGAGGCCGGCGCGGCGCTATGACGCATTACGCTACGCCTTGAGTGTTTCGGCGTGTCTAAACTCGGTCTGGTTGAGTGAGGCACTTTGACCCTAAGGCAGGTTTCAGAGCCGAAACCCGTCGGAGCACCTATGGGGCTGGATTCGCGCTCTCCCCAGAAGACAGGGCGCCGGTTCCCAGATGGCGGTAAACGGTGGCGCGGGGCCAAGGAGTCGAGTCGCCCACCGACAAGCCGCGAGCCTCAACCCCGCCCGCGTCCGGACGGGCGTTCGGAGCCGGCTCTTGCTGCACACGTCCACCTGAGCCCCGAAGCTTTGGGATATTTCCGCCGGGCGCTCTCGGCGCTGAAAGAGGCTCCCGAGACCGGGGAAGAACGAGGTAGGGAGCAACTTTGAGGTGGATCCAAGAGAGATTTTTTTTTGTCTGAGCAAAATATCCAGGACAGGAAAGGAGATTTGTGGGGGGGGGGGTCCCCAGAGCATGGGGTCTTAGTTTCATCTCCTCTTCTTTGCCTCCCACCCCTTGGTTGAGTGATGGAACATAACCTTATCTTTCTCTGCGCCTTCCTAAACTATTTCTTTTCAGAGCTAATGGTGCAGAATGTACTGAAGGAAGTGGAGGCTCAGGCCCTAGCTGTGGCCACAAACAGGTCTGGCAGTGAGATGCTACAAGAATTGTTGGAGTTCAGTCCCTTGAAACCGCTGTGTCGAGTATGGGCTGCTCTACGCCCCAGCTTGCGCTTTGTGGCCTGTCATCGGTGCGGGATCCATGTGTTGCAAAGTGCTTTGCTGCAGTTGCCTCGATTGCTGGGCAGCCCCGCAGTGGAGGAGGAGGAGGAAGAGGATGGAAACGATGGTCCTTTGGAGACCCTGGAGGAGCTGGTCCTGGGACTAGCAGCCGAGGTGTGTGATGACTTTCTTTTCTACTGTGGAGACACATATGGCAGCTTCGTGGTCAGAACTCTGCTGCAGGTGTTAGGAGGGACTCTTCTGGAATCTGAGAGAACCAGGCCCCGTGGATCCCAATCATCTGGTAAGTATTACAGGAGAGGGAAGTGGACATAGAAGGAGAGCTAGGAAGTTCAGAAGGAGAGAGTAAGCAGAAGAGTAAGTCCTCGGGGGAGCTTGACCATAAAGAATTAGCAGAGAAATTAGGACAGGGTTTAGCAGGCCAAAGATTAGTGTATGCCGAGGCCCAGAGGGGTGATTCATATAGAGCAATGGATTTCAGACTTTTTTTTTTAACCACAATCTACAGCACAAAAAAAAGTTTTTTAACACTTGTAAGCATACATATATGTATGTATACACATATTGGATTCAAGCAAAAGTTCAGGAAACAATACCCTTACTACATGCAATCCACTCTGATATTTTCTTTCCTTTTTTTTTTTTTTTAAAAAAAATTCTGTCGTATTCCATTAAAAGATGCTGATTGAGATGAATTTTTGATTCACTGAATTGATTTCATGTTACACTCATAGGCCATGACCTATGTTTTGAAAAACTCTGAGAAATAAGGTTAGAGAATTTAGATGAGGCCTGATTTTGGAACACCTCGAATACCTGGTTGAGGAGTCTGGACTATTTCCTGTGGACCATGGGGGAGCTGGTGGGAGTTTTTTAGAAAAATTAAAACAGAAATATAGTCTCAATTGAGTCATCCAGATGAGAAGAGACATTCAGGTATACCATATGTGTTCTGTGTCCCCAAGCTGAATCTTTGTTTATCAGTGGAATTCATCTCCCCCCTGGATGGCAGTTTGTGATCTCATCACTGTGCATGTTCTTCATCTTCCTTCAGAAGTGGGAAGGGCCCCAGCTTGGGAATGTAAGCCAACTGATTTTGAGGTCCCAGAAGCCTTCCTGAATCGCCTTCAGGACTTGAGTTCCTGCTTTCTGAAGGACATTGCTGGTAAGGAGCAAAGTAGGAGAGGGCTCTATAATTCACTTTTCTAGAAGTGCTTACCTACAAACAAGGCCCTTCCTTAGATCAGCCTTATTCATCTTCTCAAACCTGGTCTTGTTGATATTGTAAAGCACTTTGTAAAGACCCTTTGTGTCCATAGCCCCTTGTACCTTGTTGCTTAAAGTTTGAGGTTGTGCAGGTCGCCTGGAGTTTGAGAAAGCTGCTTTTATTATTTCTGCCTTTTCCCACAGTGTTTATCACTGACAAAATCTCCAGCTTCTGCCTTCAAGTGGCCTTACAGATCTTACACCTCAAACTGCCCCAGCTTTGTGCCCATCTCTGCAGTGCTGTGATTGACTATCTGAGTACTCGCAATTCCTCAGCAGATGGCAGGTATGATCAGGGTTTCAGAATCAACCAAGGTTGATTGGGCTGTGTGAAATGAATGGGGTGATGTGACGCAATGGCATTTTGGATGAAGTAGAATTAACACTGCTTGATCTCTTTCTTGTTGTCCCCAGCCCTTTACTTCTGTTTCTGCAGGATCAGACGAGTTCCAGACTCCTGGAGCAGGTGCTGCTGGTGTTGGAGCCTACAAGGCTCCAGAACCTCTTTAAGGATCATTTCCAGGGGCAGCTGCAGACCCTGGCTGCACATCCCATTGCCAACTTCCCTTTGCAGCGCTTGCTGGATTCTATCACTACCCCTGACCTGGTGAGTCAGGAACTGGACTGGGTCTGTTTCTATACTCTTGTCTCTGCTAGTTCATGTTCATGGAGGCTGATTTTATTGTAGGCCTGCCTCTTTATCTCTGACAGTGTACTTGCCATTGTCCTTGAAAAGTTATTCCTGGGAATTTCCCAGACTTTGGATGAAGATGCCTTCTTTCCAGAGAGGATTTGTTTTGGCTTATTTCAGGTGCCAGAAGGCACTACCAACAGGAAACTGGCTTAATCCAAGTTTAAGCCTACCAGCTTCTGAGTACTTAGCTACAAACCCCTTTGAGCACTGGGGCTGCCCACAGTGTCTCTCTTCCTTTGCTGGGTTGAGTCGGGGTGGAAGGGCAGGTTTAATTCTGGTTCTCCCATAACCTGAGAGTATGGCCATTTAAAGTGCACCCCCAATGTGAGATGTCACCTCTAAGATTGCCCATTTGTCCTGGGCCTTGTCCAGCCAAACCAAAGTCCTGACATTGGCAAGTTCTCTGAGAGCAAAAGAAGCTTCTGCGCTCCTGTATTCCCCACACCTCTCTGGATGCAGAGTTGGACTGGCAGTTCCCAACTAGGCCTTCATTGCCTCCCCCTTCCACTTTAATATTATTACTTTAAATGAAAACAAAAACTTTTAAATAAATGTCTTAGATCTTGATCATGTTTGTGGTTATCGTGGTGTGTAACTTTGTCAGAACTCATCAAAATGTACACTTAAAATCGATACATTCAAGTGCATACCTTGAATGAGTTGATGTGTAATACTAAAGGTTTTTTTTTTTTTTTTGTCTATATGTCAGAAAATGGAGCAGCAATTTGGAAATGAATAGTGGTGCTGGTTGCACAACACGATGATCAAAAAATAAAAACAAAAAAGCAGCAAAAATAAGAAAATACAAATAAACAAAAAATTAAAAAACTTACCAGCACCATATTCCTATCATGCTGATTATTTTAGTGTTATGTAAAACATTATATATTTTTGTTAATCTTTTCTATGCATTTTTACCAAATTGGGATCAGCTTTATATGTTATTTTATAAACTGCTTTTTCAGATATCAATCTCTACCTTCTACAGCAGTAAGTTTTCATCTTTGTAATATTGAGTCCATATTCAAATTGCCTAGTTGTCCCAGAAATGTTCTTTGTAATTGGTTTGTCCAGATTAGGGCCCTGCATTACTTCTAAGTCTCTTCGTTTAAGTGTCTTCAAACATAGCACAGTCTCCTTTCTTTCTTTTTATTTTTTTAAGATACTGATATTGAAGAGACTGGGTTAGCTGGCTTGTCTTCATTGCTTTTGAGGCAGTGCTTTTTATGTTCTATCAGGCATTTTTGTTGTTTTCAGCAGGGAGAGTTCTCTGAATAACTTATCCTACCACTACCAGAGTGCCAAAGATTCTTTATCCCATGTCTCCCCTCAGCTGTCCCCTGTGTTTGAGGAGCTGAGCTCTGCCCTGGAGGCTGTGCTGGCTCAGGGCCACCCAGGAGTAGTCGTTGCCCTGGTGGGGGCCTGTCGCAGAGTTGGGGCCCACCAAGCCCAGGTCCTGCAGCTGTTGTTTAAGGTGAGTGTCACCTACAACCCAGTTACAGCCCCAGTCAAAATTCTACCTATTCGGACTTATCATTAGTCGTTGTTCCAATGAACTCAAGAGGTCTACAGGGAAGAATGAGACCAGAAGCCATCTCACAGCCCTGGAATGAAAATTGTCTCCCAGAACTGAGAGAGAAGCTTATTTAAAGAATAATTGTTTATTCAACCTCTGTTATGTTTACAGAGGCTGCAGATACAGCAAGGCAGATGAGATCCTGCCCTCATGGAGCTTGTGGAGTTAGGCCTTCTTACTTCTCTTGAATGCTTTCCCCTGTCTAGAGAGTCTGGGTTAGGGATGGGGCAGTTTTCAGACTCATGTTTTGACTCCCTGTCTAGGCGTTCCACTGTGCAGAGCCCTTATCCCGTCATGTGGCCTGTGTGCCTCTCTTTGCCACTTTGATGGCTTACGAGGTGTACTATGGACTAGTGGAGGAGGAGGAGGCAGTGCCTGCGGAGCACCAGGTAAGCTAGGGGAGAGGCCAAGCCACTGACTCACTGGGAAGCCCCTCACTCCTGAGGTGAGGGTGGTGAG